TGCCTTTTACAGTAATTTTCTAATCTGGGATCCTTATGTTATCGACGTTTCTTGTCAGATTATCTCCTTATCTGGGCGTCATATAACCCTGTGGCTATGTCACTCGACTTGTTTTTGTTGTAGTACTTTGTCTGAAATTGGAAGTAGGCAATCCCTGTAGATCATTCATTCTTGTAATATTCTTGTCCGGAAGTAGAAGTGAGAAATCCCCTTAAGATCATAACAATCGTGGTCCTAGCACAGCTTTTTTTCTCCAGTTGGAATTGAACTGGCAACCTTGCAAATGTGACCTGTGAGTGCTAACCATTGCACTATTGACTCGCAGGTCTCTAGATGAATTTTGCAAAGATGAACCCTATTAATAAAAATTAAATATAAGTAATTAGTTAGCAAGAGTACCTTTCAGTCTTATAGTTAGGTAATATACTTTGAAATATGTAACAGCTTGACAGACATACAGAAAGAGTAATCAAGATTAGGTTAAATAGCACCTAATATAGGTGTATGGGAACTTGTATGCTATCTGTCAGTATAGTATAGGGATCAAAGTATTTAAAATAGGTAATCTCCTAGTAGATTGCAGATATAACAGCTAGTGTAAAACCTGCTATACAGGTGAACTACTTAAATTAGACAACCAAAAGTTATACAAATGACTAGTTGTACACTTATATATTTTAAAAATTTTATCTAATTCTATAACTTTTTGTTAAAATATTTTTATATATATTTTATGTTTATATAAAAAAAATTAAAATTTTTTTATTTAAAAATAAAACATCAAAACCTTTTAATAAAAAGTTATTTAAAATATATATACAGTTAAACCTCTCTAAATGCACTCTCCTTAAATGCACATCCTTTCTAAATGCATGCTATAATCTGGTCCTAAGCTTGGGACTTAGAGCTAAATGCACACCCTCTATATGCTGCACGTGCAATAGATTTTAAAGTTCCAAGTATATCAAGATAATTGAGATAACCTTCCATAAATGCATGCACAAGATATACACAATAAACCTGCAACTAAGATCCAGTTTCTTTAGTTACATTTCATATTCTATGTATGCCAAATACATATCTATAATATACTGTATATTAATTATTCAAATGCAGAATAAATTTGTACTTTTTCAAGTTGATATACGATCAACAGATCGAAAAGACTGCTAAGCAGTGATGTAAACACTGCCAAGCCAGAAAAGGTTAGTCACTGATAGGATACAAGCAACCAATATGAATGCCAAAATAAGGAGATGAAGATCAGCATCACAAGGAAATGTAGTCAAAGTTTAGGTATAACTTTATATCAGCATCTGAATTTGGTGACTATGAGAAAATTGTTGAACCCAAAGCAAGATTTAACCGAGTATAGCTAAGTATAACAGTATATATAATAATGCAAACATGTTTGTGCAACCAGTGTTTAACTGCACTGCGAATATTCTATTTGTGACCCTGTACCACTCTCCCACAGCAAAGAAAAAAAAAAAAAAAAGAGAGCATGAACAATGCTGCAAACATATTTAGCAGAAAAAGCTTGAATCTTGCCATTTTCATAACAACTGCTTATGTTTTTTTATTGGTCAGCCTGCTTGACGCAGGCAGGAAACCACTGGCCAAAGCTACATCACACTGCTTCTGCTGTCTATGGGATACCTAACACAATCTTGATTGCTATTTCTAAGTACATATCCTATTTCAATTATGTATACTGTAAATTAATAGCAACTGATGTATGCTTTTTTAAAACATGAATTTAAGACATAAAGTTATTGAATATGCATTCTTTAAATAAATTCAATTCTGATACATGTTGCCAGATTTATTCCAACATATCACATGTATGCAGTACTTTTCGAGCACTAAATTAAAACAGCATACTTCATGTGAAATTCAACATACAAATACTATAAGTAGCGAATTATTTGTAAAGCTTTAGGTACAACATTTTATACAACAATTTTATCTATTTTTTTGCAACTGATATCTTTATTACAAACATATTATAACCTTGACCTACTATTAATTAAATATTACATTTATAGCTAGCGACAGTAATAAATAATAAAATCAATTTATTTTAATTGAAGCTTTTAACTTTTATAAATTAAATAATAACATTCTTATGAAATAAATTTTTTTTTTTTTTTAGTACAATTACCTGGAAAACCCAAATAATTTTATAATACCTAGGCAAGAAATTATGCAATCTCTATTTTAGTAAAATATTACATTTTTAAAAAAAAGAGTTAAATAAGTTACTAATGCAATTAATTTATTTTAGCCGATTAGACAGAGCTCTTTTATAATATTAAAATATAAATTTTATAAGTAGCATGTTTTTGCATTTTGCACAAGAAAACATGCATATCCATGCACATTCATAAGCATGGCATTAGTTCATGATTTTGTGAAAATAAACTTCACAGAATAACCTAAAATCAACAACATTAGATAGAAATTTGTATATAGTAAAATAACACCTAATCACTGCTATTTAGTATAAAATGAAATAAAAGTTATATATTGAATAATGTGTTGCTAAGTTTACTATCAATAGTTGATATTTGAAACCATTTTCTTATAAAATTGTATCAATATCACTACAAAACCATAAAATAAAAATATAATTTCACATTAAATTATAAAAATAAACATCAACTTATTTGTTTATATAACATGTTTTCAAAAAAAGAAAAAGTAGCATTAACTGATGCCCAAAAGGTTGCACTTTGTGCTTATGCTCAAGAAAATAAAATGACACAAGCCAAATATGTTGACTGGATTGAAAAACAATGGAGCATTAGAATTGATAAAAGTATCATTTTACAAATTTTAAAAACTAGTGACAAATGACTAACTACTGAGGTTCTTAATCCTGATGCCAAATAACACAAATCTGTTACTGTTTTAGAAGTTGAGATTGCACTTAAAGAATTTGTACTAACCTATCAACACTAGATGATTTTGAGTGATCTTATGCCAATTGAAAAAGCTAAAATCCTTGTTAAAGAATTAGGAGTTCTACCAGAAACATTACAATTTTTATATGGCTGGTTGCAAAAATTTAAAGAGAGAAATGGTATTCACCAATTAAAACTTCAGGGTGAAGCTGCATTAGCAGATGATAATGCTATTATTAATGCTTTGTCATTGCTAAAATCCAAGTTCAAAATTTATTCACTTGATAAAATCTACAATATGAATGAAACTGGCCTTTTTTATCGATTAGAACCAGATCGAACATTAGCAACTTAACATATCGCTGGACAAAAAGTTAATAGAGAGCATCTTTCAATCACATTATGCTCGAATGCTGATGGATTACATAAATTAAATCCTTTAGTAATTGGTAAATACATGAAGCCACATTGTTTTAAAAATATAAAAATTAGTAATATACTGATCATGTATAGAAATAATACCAAAGCTTGGATGCTTATTACTCTTTTTCAAGAATGGCTCCAAGAATTTGACTTTCAAGTTGCCCAAAAACACCATGGCCAACATGTGCTTTTAATTTTAGACTAATGCACTAGTCATAAAATAGATAATTTAAACTTATAACACATTGAAGTTTATTTTTTGCTCTCTAATACAACTTCAAAAATTCAACCTATGAATGCCAGGATTATTATGAGTTTCAAACATCACTATCATCACCTATATGTCAGCTGGATGTTACAACAAGTTGAAATAGAAGAACAAGCAGAAGAATTAAAAATGAATGTTTTGCAAGTCATTCAGTTTATAATTCAAAGCTGGAAAGAGATAAATTCTAAAACTATATGTAACTGTTGAAGACATACTAATATTCTTCCTGCCACTTATAATGCAGATCTATGAAATCTTTCTGAGAATATTTCTCAAGATAATTCTGTGCTTGCTAATCTTTCTAAAATGCTTAAAAATATTAAATTTTCTGACCTTATGCAAGCTGAAGAGTTTCTAACTATCATAGAAGAAAATATTACCTATGAAGTTCCTAAAAATAATCAGGCCATTGAAGAACTTGTAGAAATATTCATCAATGAATGTAATTTAGAATATTCTGACACTGATAAAATTGATGATAGTTTAGAGACTCCTATCATCACATTTAATAAAATACTTAAAGGTTTAGAGACAATTCACCTATATCTACTTCAATATGAAAATACTAGTGAGCATCTAAAGTTAGTTGATAAAATCAAAAAAGTTATTAGAGAAAAAAAAATAAATACAATGCAACAAGCTATGATTAATAGTTATTTTAGTTAATCTGTATTTATCTTTCAAGACATCAGTAAAGATGTAATTCAATTTAAAGTTACAGAATATTAAATATTCTTTTTATAGATTAGATAACATTTAAAGAATATAAATAAATAAAGTAAAATATTTATTTTATAGCTTTCAACTCAGGTGTGAAAAAATTATATTATTTTACTAAATTAGCCAGGTCACAATACAAATAATATGAATAGTCGAAGTAGTGCATACAAGATTGTTTGGTCATGTGATATACAAGCAATGTGATTGGTCTTATTTCATATAACTTAGTTGATAACTTTTTACATATGGGTTCTCTAATTGCATACTCTCTTTAAATACACAACCATGTCTGATCCCTAGAGTATACATTTAAAAAGGTTTAACTATAATTTGTTCTTCTAAACAACTTTATTTAAAATATAAATATTTGATTAACTTAGTAAAATGTTGACTTTTATTTTATTTTATTTTTTTTTTAAGATGATCTCTTTGGTCTTTTGACTTTTATTAATCACTTATCAGTATTATGGTTTAATGAACCACTACAGGAGAGAGTACAATTGACTACATGTATAACTTTTCTATATTATCTATTTAAGAAGTCTGCTTGAAAGTTCTTTACCAATTGCTATACCTAACACCCCTGCTTGGATGTTTCACTTTAAACCCTCTGAACCTGTAACCTGTATTAATATCACTAGGTTATTTCAGATGCTCAGATCATCATTTCAACCTTAGAACTAATTTATCCTCAAGGTAAATCCCCCAAAGCCTTCTGTACTCATTTTTACAGCTAACCTAGGTATCACTATGGCAGAACCAACACTTGCAATCAAGGCTAACCATTAAACTGCTATGCTTTTGTAAAGTTCACATAAACCTTAGCATCTACTTCACAGCATATCCAAAATACTTTAGTATACCCCTACCAGTTCATCAAACTCCCAATCCAGATAACCTGATAGAACTTACGACCAGTCTATTAGTATATCAGATCGGTCTGATATCCTTTTTCTTCAGTTTATTCTGATGGCCTGGTTGGTGATACTCTTCACTTAGAGATTTTTGCTCATCTGACTACTTTGACCTTGGTATCTATTTCATAAGACTAGCCTTTATAGTAGAACTATTGAAGATCTGGCTATCTCTTTACTCGGGTCTTCTCAAATGGACTTCTTGTTATCTAATTTTAACGAATTTACACAATTACAAGAACTTATCTAGTGTTTGTACCGCCTATTGATGGTTTGCATTCTTTTGTATAACCACAACTTTGTCCCAAAGGACAATGTCATGTGACCTGTTACACAAATGCCCATGACCTACCAGTCATGCTGGTGTGACTACCATTACAGGTATCTTAACCCAATCATTAGTAACAGTTGCTGTAATACAAATATTATATAGGTAATTATCCAAATTTTTATCATCGATGGGATTTGAACACCCAACCTACCACTTGGAGGGTTGACAACCTGACCACTTTACTAGGTCATTACACTCTTTATAAATGTTGATTTTTATATATAAATACAATTATATATTAATTAATAAAATTATAGTTATTTGATATCTTTTTATATTAACTATTTGGCCAATAAAATTACTTTATATGTAAATGATCCAAATAACCTAATGACCAAATGACCTAATGACAAAATAACCTGAGTTACTTAATCAAATGACTAGGTTATTTAAATTTTAAACAAATAACAAAGTTATTTACCATTCCTAATATAGTTACTATACAGTTACTACGCAGTTACTGTGCATTAAGAAATCCAAGTTTCTGTAAAGATTTTATTAACAAAAAGCAGGAATTAAAATAAGGCTATAATAATGGTAGTTAATATTCTTAATGAAGGTTATTAAATCTAAAATTTTTGTAATAAATTATATGTTGCAATAGTTTTTCCTCTCATTTAATATTAATTTATATTAAGTATCAAACTTCTAGTGCACTTCAATAACTTTAATATACAATCTAGCTCATTCGTTAATGTAATAAGTGTAAGCTGTTGAATTTCAAAAAAAACCTATGTTATCTATATCAATATTACATATTGGTATTAAGAATTATACAGTATGTATTACTACGTAAAAATACACATTTTTAAAACTATTAAGGAAATTGAAGACATTACTACAGGTATAAATACAGTATACGTATGATTTGTTAATTTAAAATATACTCAAATAGAATCAAGTTGATTTTGGGTCTTGAATTAGCTTACAAATAAAATATATTTTGAAAGTTTCTTGTCTCAAAATATCAACCAAAGAATAATATTTTCTTTACTAAAAAACAAGTTTTTAATATCTAATTACCTATCAGATAAACCAAACATATCATTTACAATACAAAAAGGTATATCTAAACGACCTACAGTATGAATGGAATTATATTTAAGTATATATATAAACTTTATCAAAATAAAATTATTAGTATAATATATGCAAAATAATTCTTACAATTTGATCGACTAAAGTAGGCGTTCGAATTGGGATCACCGAGTGTTAGAAAAACTAGGATGTCTAAATATAGAGTACATTTACAACATGGGGGTGTGGGGTGTTATTAATAATTATATTAACGATTGCCTTTGCAACCCTAATTTGGTAAGAAAGTGACGCAAATAATCCCATCCAATCAGAAATCTGGTGAAAAATTAGAAATGCACTACACGCGTGGCAAAACACCATTGGTTCACTAATCACCAAATCAAGTATATAGAACACATTTTTTTTGTATCCATATTCGAAAAAAAAACATTTGTATTCGTAAACCTTTCGAAATATAAGCAAAATGGCAGACCAAATTAAAGAATTTGCAGAAATGCCAAGACAGTTCGTAAAAGAAGGAACACAGTTTATAAATCGGTGTACTAAACCCGATCGTAAAGGTATTTATTAAAAAAAAACAATTGAAACGGAAATTTTCCCTTTCTGAAGAATGCTAACAACAACAATTATGAATATTCTTTTTTATAATAGAGTTTATTAAAATTTCACAAGCCGTTGCAATGGGATTCTTTGTTATGGGATTCATTGGATTTTTTGTGAAGCTAGTTCATATTCCAATCAATAATATCCTTGTGTATGTATAATCTACTTTTTTCGTCTTGGTATTATATTACTTGCAAATTTAAATTTCTTATTCATCGGTTTTTTTTTTTTTTTATAATCGTATAGTGGTGGAGCGTAAAATTTTGATCCAAAGAGAAATCATTTCAAATTTATAGATAGAATTAATAAATAGATGTTCATTCAGTTATCTGAATCTAATTTAGGTTATATTCGGGTTATATTATACATTTTTGTGAGTTTATTATGAAATTTTAATAATTAATAAATGAATATACATAATCGAACATTATACCTACGGACAGGTAGTTTATGTAATTTATGTAATCAACTTGAAAAAATAAATGAATTTCCACAAAATAGTATAATTTTTATTATCGTAACTAACCTTGTATAACTGATAAATAGAAGCGACAGTATATACACCACATAGTGTTTCGGTCAAATATCAAACATTTTATAATTCTAGACAGAGTTATTAGTTGTGAATATATTTACCGACAAAATCGCAAATCCAAAAAAAACTCCCGTTTATAAGAAAAATTGAATTATGAAAAATTTTTTTTTTGAGTATCCCTGTTGCTTTGGCAACTAATGAATCATGAAATTTACCAAAATATGTTATTTATATACTTCTTGGGGTTGGGTTCGCAGGAAAACTATAATATAAGTTGACACAGAGTCAATTATTCGAAAAACTAAGCAATACTCTATTATCTCATAGACAGAAGTTTGTCTGATTGGCTATTAAATTCAATTTAATATTACATTATTTATACAGTTTAGAGTACTTTTTAAAAAAACGAAAACTAATCATAATGAAATAAAAAAACCTGTATAGAAGGTTTCATTAGAGCTGTAGGACTCCATAGACAAAAATAAGATCCAATTCTCGTCCGTTTAAAAAAATTAGTATAGTAATAACTTCTTAAAGCCCGATAAAATCAACTTATTACTAAGCTAATTTTTTTAAACGGAGGAAAATTAGATCTTATTTTTGACTATGAAGTCCTACAGCTCTAATGAAACTTTCTATACGGCTTTTTTTATTTCATTATGATTAGTTTTCGTTTTTTAAAAGTACTCTAAACTGTATAAAATAATGTAAAATTAAATTGAATTTATTTGTCAATTAGACGAACTTCTGCCTATGAGGTCGTGGGCCGGAATTATTTTCATGCCGGTCAAATTAAATAGTTAAGGGTAGAGTACATGTAGATCATTTGTTATATAATCTGCATAGTAAATTTAGATTTATATAGTAAATCAAAATATGTTACTAATAAAATTTTTTAAAAATATAAAATATTTTGAGTTTTGCAAAATTTTTGAAATTTATTTTGCAATATTTCAAAATATTTTGCATTTTATAAAAATTTCAAAATTTCTTTTGCAATATTTTGAAATTTTTGTATTATTATTATTTTTTTTTTATATAAGTAGTCATACTAGTGCTTTATTAAGATTTTTGAAATTACTATTACAATTATATAAATATATCTAACAACTAAGTCTAGCATTATCCAGCTACTCTAATGATGCTCAAATGCAATCTGTCATATTATCTTTAACAAAAGTAAGCTGCTTGTCTAATTATTTAAAGTTTATAATAGAAAAGTTTTTTTACTTTTATGATAAGCTTTCAAATTATTTTCCTGCCTTTCTTTTCAATTCATTTTCTTTTTTCTCTTAATTTCTTCTTTTTTTTCTTAATCTCTTGCTAATTAGTTTTTTTTTTGTTAGAGTTTTTCTTTTTTTTCTGTTTTTCTTTTTTTATTTTACTTATTATTTCTTTTTTCTTTTTTTATATTTTAACTTTTTTACAATATATTCTTTAGACTTGTTCATAGAAGATGTTTCATACTATTTTTATTATTATGTTCATAAATTGCTATCTTGTTCTTGTACTTAAAAGTTGTAATAATCTGTCTTGAGTTGTTTTTAGAATTAAATCTTTAATTAATGTTTTTCTTATTTCTATTTTATTTCTCTTTGTTTTTTAAAAAATGTTATATATAATATATAAGGTAGAACCTAAACTTTTTCTTCTTTTTTTAAACTTTTTCATGCTACTATGATAAATACTTTTTATATTTTTTTTTACAAATTTGCTTGTCTCTTATATGATGCTAAATGTTTTTATATTTTTTTAGCTTTGCTTTGACAAACTTAATATTTTGTTATTGTATATATATCTGACTTTCTTTTATTAAGTTTTTTTAAAGTCAGAAGTTTATCTAATACATATTTCATAAAAATTTTTTTCTTATACTGCTTCTTTTTGTCAAACAATGTATCTCTTTAAATGACTTTAATCTTTTCTAAAAGTATATTCAATTGTATATCATTATTTTTGTTATTAGTTCTATGTTCATAATCATAGCTGTTTTCTTTCATTCTGGTTCCAATCTGAGATTTGTTACTATTTTATATAGAAGTCTTATTAGTAAGTCTATTCATTTATTTTTTTATTCAAAGCAGTACTCTATCTTTCTATGACTAACTTTTTTTAAAAATATTATCTTTTTGCTTAATATTACTTTTTTTATAAGATTATTAGTTTTATTATTCTATTTGTTCTTATTATAACTTTTTACTTTGATCTACTTTATCTATATATTTTTTGTTCTAATTATATCAATTATTTTTAATGCCTATAATGCATTTTTCTTTTTAAAAACTTTATTTTTATCTATATATGCTAAGTTTTTATCAATGTTTCTAATTGCTGCATTGCTTTTTGTAAATATTTCTAGTTTTTTCTTCTTTAGTATTGTTAAAACTGCTACCTATATTGTTAGCATCTTAGCTGTAATAGACATAAGTCAATCTTTTATTTTTAAATCTATTTCTTCTTCTGACTAATCTTATGTTTCACTTATTTGCACTTATCTTATATTTATATTTCTATTTATTGTCTCTTTTTTGTTTCTTCTATTTGCTGTATCATCTGTATATATTATTATTTGTTCTTGTTTCTTGATATATTTCTTCTTAGAATCTCTACTAACTCTTAATTAATGTTCTCTTTTAGCTTTTGTTTTTTAACTAACTTTATTTCTAAATCTTCTAATATTTTAAGTCCTGTTAACTTTTGTTTATATTTTCTTAATTTCTCTGTTCTCATATATCTTATTAGTTAGTTAGTAACTATCTTAATTCTATTGTTGTTTCTTTTTATTAGTATATTTGAAACTATATTTATCTTGTTATTGATTCTTATTCAATATTGACAGTTATTTTCTATTGTTTCTTCTTTTCTTATATACCTTTTGCATTTGTTAATTCTAGTTATTAGATTATTTTCTATATTATACAACTGCCAATATTTTATCAGTAGTTTTTTTTTCTTCTTTTTAATTATTTTTTCTAGTTGTCTATCTTCTATTGTATTATGCAATATCTATTCTTTTTTTCTTCTATTTTTTGACAAACTTTCTTACTTAATCTTTATTGCCTATGTATTAAATCTGATTGTTTTGAATTGTTTTTTAACTTTTCTATTTTTAAATCTACTAAGCACTTTTGTTTCTATTATCTTGAACCACTCTGCCTTTTTGTCTTTATTCAATTGTTTCTGATAGCTTTTGAATTACTGCCCTATGAAAAAATATATACAAAAATAATAAAGAAAATTACAAATAATATACAGAATATAATATATATATATTGAATAATAGGTTTATATAATAAATTAATATTGAATTTTTATACTAGATAGATATAAAATTATTTTTGATACAGAATGAATGCTGAATTATTATACTAGATAGATACAGAATTATTTTTGATATAGAATGAATGCTAAATTGTTATACTAGATAGATATGGAATCATTTTTGATATAAAATGAATGCTAAATTGTTATACTAGATAGATACAGAATCATTTTTGATA